GTGCCTCACGGCATCATGGAAGCATCGCGGGTTTGCTCTCCTTCTCCTCCACCACCTCCTCCTCCTCCTTCTCCTCCTCCTCCTCCTCATCCTCCTGCTCCTCCCCTCCTCTTCCTCCTCCTCCTCCCCTCCTCCTCCTCCTCCTCCTCCTCCAGCCTCCTGTTCCTCATTATCCTCCTGCTGCCGATCCTCTTCATCCTGCTGATCCTCTTCATCCTGATACTGGTCCACCCCACCACCCTTCTCCTCCTCCTCCTCCTCCTCCTCCTCATCCTCCTCCTCCTCGAGGATGGGGGACGGACGACGGGGAAGTGTGGACGAAGATCGACATGAAGGACGTGGGCCCTGGGGGCAACAGGTCCTGGACCCCAGAGCTTTCCCCAGGATCAGCGTTTCATACGGAGTCGTTTTTTCAGATCCCTCTCCCTCAGAGCCCCTTGCGAGAAGAGGCGGCTCCTCCTGATTCTCGTCCTACTGAGCACTCCTCCTCCCCGAGGAGTAGGAGGAGGATGAGGATGAGGATGAGGAGGAGGAGGAGGAGGAGGACGAGGAGGAGGATGAGGAGGAGGAGGAGGAGGAGGAGGAGGAGCATGAGGAGAGGAGGAGGAGGAGGAGGAGGAGGAGGGGAGGAGGAGGAGGAGGAGGAGGAGGAGGAGGAGGATGAGAGGAGGAGGAGGAGGAGGAGGAGCGTGGGGGGGGTAGGGGGAGGTGGAGGCGGCTGTCTCCTGACCTGGTGGACCCTCCCCCCCCCGGCCCCGAGCCCGCGCCTGGCCGAGCCCGAGGCCTCGGCCGCGGGCTCGTCGCCGCTCGCCGGCGGCGGCGGCGGAGGCGGTCTGGCGGCTGCGCGGGGCTGCACCTCCAGGAGGGGGGGTGGAGGTGAACGGCCACGACTGGGCACCGTCGATCCCCATCCCCACCGGCGTGGCCTGGGCCACATTGGCCGATGTACCCCCCTAGATGGGGATGTAGGCTGTGCTCTTCGGGGGCTTCGGGGGGTGTATTCCCAACTGGGGAGGCGAGAGGCCACGATAGGGGGGTTGGCGGCGCGCACAAGGGGATAGGGGAAGGGGTGACGGCTTCTTAGAAGGAGGCTGCTTCTTGTACGGCGCGGGCCCTACATCTACAGACAAGGCCGCGCCTTCTAAGAAGCAGGGGTGCTTCTACGAAGGCTGCCCACCCTCCCCCTACCACCCTCTGCACGTGGCCGAGGTAGGGGGGCACGGGCTCAGGGGGGGAAGATCGAGCTCGAATCAGGGAAGCATCGACGATAGATCGGCCGATAGATCGGCCGATTGATCGGCGACAGGTGGAGCCTGAATCGGCGAGGGCTTCGCGCACATGCCACTTGTGCCACCGCGTCCGAGAGTGGGGCGCCCAAGAGGGGGGGGTCCAAGGAGGAGGTTCGCACGTCATGTCCCCAGGCGCGCGCGCGTGCGATCGGGGGGCCAGAAGACGCGTTGAAGGAAGAAGAGGGGCCATGAGATCCGGGAGATCTCATGGCGCCAGCCATGCTATCCACCCCTGGTCATCACCCCCCTCTTGGTCCCTTGGCTGGCCCCAGGGGGGGCAGGCCAAGACGAAGCCAGGGCGAAGGCAAAATCGAACCAGGGCCAATCGGGGATCTCCGAGATCTGGAGGTTCTGGTGGATCCAGACACGCTGGCGTCATGAATCGGCTATTCGCAAGCGTGACCCTGGACCCTAGGCAAGAGTGACCTTCAGTGCGTGACTTTCGGGGGGGCCGCGAGGAGGCCAAACCCGAGCGCGCAGGACGCTGCTATCGCATCGCGTTCAATCATCTGGGGACCCCAGTGTGCCCGCATCAGAGGTCACTCCGGCGAACGGTCATTCTAACGAGCAGTCGAAAGAAAGGATCACGACTCAGATATCTGGGCTGAGACCTGGCGGTTCTGGAGGATGTATCGACCGCCGCGGCACACTTTGCCCTCCCTATTTCCGCCATACCGTTGCGGACATATTCGCCATTCTTCTGAGGCGGAAGTTGGCCGTCCTACTTTTCGCATCGTTCGGGGTGCATGGCTGACACACTTTGAGATAGAAAAACCAGCCCAAATACGGCGGATCCGATGTCAGGGCCATGATATCCACACACGGTGCCGTCGCGATGCTTCGGTTCTGCCTACTCTGGATCGCTTAATAATCGCCCCCCCCCCCCCCCTTGCAGTGCCCGGGGGGTTTGGCCGCGGCGCGTTCGCGGGGGTGCCAGGGGGGGTCTGGGGTTCTTTCCCTTCCCCGCTGGGGCGCGGGGGTGGTGCCAAAGGGGTTGACCGCGCCGCGTTTTCACGTTTGTCCCCCCGGGTTGATTAATAAGGAGTTCGGAATACGTCTTCTGCCGCACGGCCATGTTAGTCACCCGTGCCCTCCGCCTGACGCCCAGGGCTGGTCTCCCAGGCGCCGTCCGCAGCCGTATCGGCGTGGCTGTCTGCGCCTACAGGGGCACGTGCCTCCTCCGTTCGAAGTCAGCCTTGGCCGAAGCGGGCTGGCACCGTAGGCCCTCTGCATGACTTCATTCCCTTGCCAATGGGGGTCAGACCTCTTAGGCAAATCAAGGACAACATGTTTCAGGGAAGTGCTGTTCCGAGGGAGGAAATTTCAAGGGAACTACACCGGAGAAGCAAGGAGTCGGTTTGAGACAAATGCGGCCCCGAACAAGGAACATCCAATGACTTGAAATACTTGTTCCTGACGCCCAAACTGCGGACTCACATTAGCAGGCGAAGGATGACTCGGGGGTCCCAAGACGGTACGGTGAGAGACCGAGCCCGCAAAGATTTCACCGGCTGGCTTATCAACGCACGGTTTTTGGGATCACCGCGCCGTGGTCACCGCGCCGTTGGGGGATCCCCGAATGACGCCCTCCTCGGCGCCCTCCGACAGAAGCGGCCTGGGGGCCAGCTCCGCGAAAAGGAGGCCAGGGCCCAGCCGGCGGTGGCAGTGGGAGGAGTTCCGACGACGGCGGAAAGGAGGACAATGAGGAGGAGGACAAGGAGGAGGAAAAAGCAGGATGATGATGGTGGTGGTGATGATGATGATGATGAGGATGATGATGAGGATGATGAGGACGAGGAGGAGGAGGAGCAGGAACAGGAGGAGGACGAGTAGGAGAAGGAGGAGAAGGACAGGGATCATAATGAGGACGATGACAGCGAGGGAGAGGGGAATGAGGAGGAGGTCGGACACGACAGGTCCAGTATTTGACGCGTGCGCAGAGCAGATAAGGAATTGAATAAGGAGGAGGAAGAGGAAGACGAGGAGGAGGACGAGGAGGATGAGGACCAAGACGAGGAGTACGAGGAGGAGGAGGAGTCAGCCTACCAGATATATCAGTGAAGTTTAAGTGTAACAAATTGATATTTGATTCGAGTCTGTTCTGGTTAGCATCAAAACGGCAGGAGGAGGGGTAGGAACAGAGCGAGGGAGTGGTGAGAAAGGACCGCCGAAGCACTGACATCCTTCTCCTCCACCTCTACCCAGAAACCCAATAGCTCCCCAGATCCTCCCCTCAAGAACCCCGCGAAAACCCTCAACGCCCTTCTCGGAACACCCCGAACCCTCAATAGTCCTCCTCCTCCTCCTCTCCTCCTCCTCTCCTCCTCCTCATCCACTCCTCGTCCTCCTCCTGCGGGCACTGGTTGCGTCATCGCCTTGGGCGTCCCGAACGAGTGCACGCTGTCCTTGCGGGGCGCCCAGGCCGAACGTCCGTCCTCATCCACGCACCGCCTTTCCTGCTGCGGCAGAGCTTCTGACGCAGCTCCTCTCCTGACACACGGGAGCCGTGGAAGCAAGCAGCACTGCTTCTTGGCACACTTCGGGCCCCAGGGCCCTCCTGGATCCATGCGACTCGATAGATCTGTGAGGCATTTGGTTCAGGACGCTGTGATCTTCCACGACGTCGTCTGTCTGGCACCCTCATGCCTCTGGCGTCCAGAGAAACTCAGGGCTGGCACGTTCTCGAAGCCTCTGCTGCTGGAACGCCGTCTCGGGCCACACGCGAGAAGACAACTGCCGGACGCCCAGGCCGAACGCACGTCCTGCTCCGTCTGCTGTGGCAGAAGCTGCTGCTCGGGACTGTCCGGGCGTTGGGGGGGCCTTGCGCATGCCATACAACAAATGGGTCTTTCCTGAGCGCTCCCGATGAGGACGAGCAACATCACCGACCGCCAAAAGCCCCCCCCGCCGCTGCATTGGAAACTTCTCCTGCGGCGTATCGGATCGTGTATGAGCTGGGCAGAAAGAAGAGGATCGAGGAGGGATCGAGAAAGGGGTAGAGGGATCGAGGAGGACGCGAGGGATCGAGGAGGACGAGGGATCGAGGAGAGATCGAGAAGGGCGGGATCGAGGAGGAATCGAGGAGAGATCGAGGAGGAAGGGTTAGAAGGGAAGGGATCGAGGAGGGACGACGAGGAGAGACGAGAGGATGGATGGGGTGAGAGACGGGAGGAAGGAGAACGGGATGGTGGAATGTAGGAAAAGGGATGCGGGAGGAAGGGAAGGGAGGGAGGGAGGGCGGGAGGGGCACTCTTTTCTCCTCCTCCTCCGCCTCCTCCTCCTCCTCCTCCTCTTCTCTTCTACCCATCCTTACACCCCTCGTCCTCGCCGTCGTCGTCGTTCTCCTCCTCGTCGCCATCCTCATCCTCCTGTTGCCGATGCTGCTCGCGCAGGATCCCTCCTCCTGCCTGATCGCCAAAGAGGAACAATCGCTGTAAACACCAGCTTTCAGAGATTCACGCGGACTTCTTGGACTGGCGCTGGGTCCCCGTCCCTGGCGCGCGACGCGCGCCAGGGGCGGTGCCAGAGGCGCCGCCAAGGGGGTCGCAGAGCCGATCCAAGAAATCCGCGCGGCACATCGAAAATTCGTGGTTATGCGGCTATTTCTGTTTCGACTCCTCCCTGACCTCCTCCTTCCTCGTGCTCCTCGGGCGAGCATCCTGCCGCCTGGAGGACTCTCGCCTCACGGGCCCGGCATCGGACTCGTCGCCGCTACCACCGGGGCTGAAGAAATCCTGGGGCCGGGCTGCCACAGGCGCTACTGCCCCGCCCATCTCCTCCTCCTCCTCCTCCTCCTCCTCCTCCTTTCAGTCGGACGTCGGCAGACGTCTCGCCTCAGCTCCCAGCAGCAAGGCGCTCATAGGGCGACGAGGCTCTGGCCATGAGCGGCCAAGCTAACAATCCCAACGCGCGCGCAACGGGGGCGCGCGAACAAGCCGATGAAGTCTCCTGGAAAGCAGGCGCGCCAGACCGGCGGCAGCACGCCCGTTGGGCCAGTGCGGGAGGGAGGGGGAGTACAGTCGTCGTGCTACCTCAATGGACGCAACATTCAGGAACGGAGGGGCTTGTCTGGCCACGGCGAGCCTCGGCCATCCATACGGTCTGTGGCTCAGATCTGAGGAGGAGCGGCCCGGAAGCTAGAGCTCCCTCCTGTGTCCAGCCCGGCTGCACGGCCAGGGCTAGAGTGAAGGAGAAGATGACCCAAGAGCGCTGGGCCTGCCTACTAGTAGTTTTTCGGGCACGCACCAGGCTCAGCCCCGAGCGTTCGCAGGGGCAGAAAAACCTGGGCTGGAAGCCGCCGAAGAAAATCGTGGTCAAGGCGAAGCGCTGACATTCACTTCATCATAATCAGCGCAGCTGTGTATGAATAGCGGCGGCATCTTCACTGCACGTGTCCGTAAGGCGAGATTAGAGCAAGCATCGTCCATGCGCTTTGGTTTAATTCGAATATCTCCCTCGTCCGCTCTCTCCAACTCGTCTTTGCCCATTCTACCCTTTTCACTCCTCTGTGAGTAGCCTGCCTCGGAGGAGTAAGATGAGGAGGGACAGGAAGAGGGTATCATCCAGCTGCTAGCCTTCATGCGGAACGCGCCCGCCCATCGGGATTCTGAACGCTCGGCAATACATTACAACTTCAACTGACATATGTCGTGAGAGCGACTAGTATGCCTCTGTTCTTTGTGCGGTCACGGCCCAACCAAGTTGCACTGTAAGAACAAGCCTCGAACTTGTCCATATCCCTAAAGGTTGGCAAGCCCCAAAGCGATGACAATATTAAGGATGCGCCCTCAAAAACTAAAGGAACCCGTGTCAACGACATCGAGATCAGCTCATGCCAATCATAGGGACACGGGTGTGTTCCAGGCTTGTAATACAATCGCCATTCGTGGGCTGACCAATGCACTGATGACTGAGAACGTCGGAGCACACTGCTAAAATCGCAACGGGCCTGCGAGCGTGTACCACCTGGCGAGCCCGCTCAGGCCGCTAAGGAGGCACAGGAGCGGGAGGAGAGATACCACGAGAAACATGCAGAACACAGGACAGACAAGATGCGGTCTTAGCGATACAGTGGAGGCCAATCCACAAGAAACCTTCCACAAGAAACCCCACCCTGAGACCCCAGGACGCCCACTGCTTTTTGGCGTGGGAAACGTCACGCGTTCCATGGCACAGCCATCGAAGCCCAAGAAACCCAGGGCACCCTGGAGGCAAGCAGGGTGTCTCTTGGCATGGGCCTCCAATCTACGAGCCACACCACGCGCGTGAGCCCAGAGCGAGGCTCCCAACGAGTTGACCGCGGACGAAGCCGCTGGAGCTTACACGAACCCGTGGCTGTGCACCTGGAGGTGCGCAGGCCAATTGATACGTCTCCAGAGGTCTCTCCGCGGGTCCCTGGAGGCCCCCGCGTACACAACTTACATCCAACCTGAGCATTTTCTCAGGGTGGAGGGCTCAAGGTGAAATCCACATGGGCTTTTGCACCTCGAAAATCAATCCGTCCTGTGATGCACCTTTTGCAGATTCAAGCCTCGAAAACCAATCGAAACGGCATGTCAGACTTCACCCTTTGCCCTCCACCCAAAGAAACTGCTCGGTCAACAACCAACGCCACGGGTCTTCCGCTCGTCGTCGCCGAACAGTGTGCGTGTCCGCGAGGGGGATCGAGCCTAGAGCTTCTCGAGTGCGGGCGAGGCCCTGTGCAGGGAGCGTCAAGCCGGACTTCAGCCAACCTGATCGTGGGCTACACGTCGAGCTCGGCGATGAATCCCGGGTAACTCCTGCCTCCCGTCTTCCCCGTGCCGCGTCACCCTTGGACCAACCTTACTCGTTCCCGTTCCACCAGGGCCCACGCTAGTCCCTACAGTCCCTACGCGAGAGGACACGAGACCCTTCCGATGGCCTTGTTGCCACAGAAATGCAGGAGGCATGGGTCGCAAGACACAAGACACGACGGCACTCTTGATCTGGCAGGGTCGACCTACTAATCCGGGCCGCCTGTACTTCTTCAGACGGAGGGGTGACCGATACATTCCCGAAGCCTAACTCGTGAGGAGAAGATGGCCTCGGGAGTCGTGCGTATGAGGCTGGTCTCGTCGAGTCGGTCATGCATGCGTTGCAGTGGGTGCAAAGGACGAAGTAGACTCCTCATTCTCGCATGCGGTCGTGCAAATTTGCTGTATCGCTGATGGGGCATTTCAATCCACGATGCGACACACTATTGGAATGTCGTTCCTCTGGCTGGGAACTGCCCCCTCCCCCCAACACGAAGGTCTGCCCTTGCTTTTCGATAAGGTTTGGCCCCAAGTCTAACATGGCGTTCCCTGGTGCCCCGCAGGGGCGTCAGAATAATGCCAGCTCTGGAACCGCAGCGCTGACAGGTGTGGAATGCTTCTCTCCTCCGTTACCCTGTTAAGATACCCAAAACATATGCTGTCGGGAAACAACACACTGGCACCGATGCGGCAGGCAGGAGGGGGGCGGCCGTGGAGGAAGGGGAAACAGGGGCGGCACTCCGGACAAAATGACTTGGACAGGGTGCTGGTGCTGCGGCCCAGTGAGCAAGACTAATACATGCATTCCCGCCGAAGATTCTCGCACCTGGTTTGCTCGATTGCAGAAATCCTGGCTATCACTCTGTATCGATTGCGTTAAGCTGCTGTGGCCGTCAATGCTGTAGGATGGGACAGTGTCGTGACGGCCACGGTGCTGGTTTCTGACGCCGCGTGGATCATTTAACCAAGAACGAGCGTCGGCTTGTTGATTGCCTGATGGTCCTATACTGGCATATTTTGGACCACTGGCGGCATTCAAGCTTGAACGCCCGCGGCTGGGTCACAGCGGGGTCGACACGACACGAACCTACTGGCGGGTTTGCGTCGCGATGACGACGGCGTTGGTTTCTGATACCGCGTGTATCGTTTAATCTTGAACGATCGCGGCGTTCCGAACGCGCACATCGTGCGCCGAATGCGAGCCATTGGCGGCGTCTAACCTTGAGCGTCAGCGCTAGGTCAACGTGGCGCGAATCGACCCTACGTGGGGATCCGATGCCTTGCAAATCAGGACCTTCCCCACAATGGCATGATTGTTTCATCCTCAGCAGTTTTTGACTCTCCCAGGGCCTGGTGATGACCATCAGAGCCCGAAAGCGGCAAAGAGCGTGCGCACCGCGTCTCCAACGCGTTGGAAGCCAGGGCTGCGCCATCGGCGAATACAACTGGACTTCTAAACTAATGTCGCTAGCGACCTCTGTGTAACGACGCCCGAGGCCGTCAACCTACACCCTCTGCGTGCCGACGCGAGCCGCCGAGAATTTCCTCTGCGAGCCGATGGGTGTCGGCACGCAAAGCGTGTTACGTTGCTGCAGATCCGACTCGTTATCGCCAAATTCGATCGTATTCGCCGATGGCGTACATTGAGTTGGAGGGCAACGGTAAAAAAGGAACTGGCTCAGCGGGGGGGACATCGAGCCAGAATCGGCGGTCCATCGACGATAGACCGCTGAGATGCCCCACGATAGCGAAGCCGCGCGTTCCTGGGCGATGTGGGCTATCGGGCCCCTATCGGCGATCAAGGGGCGGTTGTGGGTCGATGCGTTCCCCCCCGAGCCTACGGCCAGGAACTTTTGCTTATCATGTCTAGTTGGCGGCACCTGCGACATGCCATGCCCTGCGAGCGGATAGCGTGTCGCTTCGCTCCGCGGGGCAGGAGGCTTGGAGAGGCTCGAGACGCTGACGCTCGGAAACGGGAGCATGGTCAACGTGTCGAGCCGAAGCGTGGTGGGCCACAACCGGTGACACGCTGAGCAACATTCTCTGACCGTGTCCCCCTAGTTTTTGGAGCATAGCTCGGGCATCCGGCGGTCGTTCGGGAGGACTCTGCCCCTCCCCGGAACGCTCCCGGCGAGAGGCAGCCGCTGAGGGCATCCCGAGGCTTCAAATCCGCCGAGAACCAACGAAAGCGTCCGAAAACCTTAGGCCGTGTCCGCCCCTGACGCCATCCCAGATACGGTCGGCGACTCCCAATTGCGTGGCTTGCAGAGAGCGTGGTTTGCAACCGCCTGGCGAGGGCAAAGCGGTGCCCCCCAAGCCCCGGCGACGCAGATCGCAAACCACACCCTTGGTAGTCGCCGATGCGTGCGCTCCGACCGCTCCCTGGCGACGTCGCTGCGGCCCGCGGCGGTCGAGGCGCGCCCTTCCCGCGAGCGCGCGAGAAAACCCGCGTGGCGGCGTGGAGGAGGGGCGCCGCGGCGGCGAAGGGCGGGTCCTCCTCTTCGGGCTCCTGCAGGGGCGCTTGCTGGAGTAGGTGGGGGAGGGCCGGGAGAGGAGGGAGGAGGAATGAGCAGGGAGAAGGGAGGGAGGAGGAGGGAGGAGGGAGGGAGAAGGGAGGGAGGAGAAGAGAGGAAGGAGGAGAGAGGGAGAAGGAATGAGCAGGGAGGAAGAGAGGAGGAAGAAGGGATGAGCAGGGAGGAGGGAGGAGGAATGAGCAGGGATGAGGAGGGAGGAATGGAGGAGAGAGGGAGTGAGGAGAAACACCACGCCGACGAACGAAGTCATCGCATTAAGCATGCAATCGGGTCAATGAGGAGGAGGCACAGGTTGCATGAGTCTGAATAACTTTGTCTCTGAACCGCCCCCCGCGACATAGTGAATGGTCGAGGGCGCAACCAACAAATAACAACCTCAACGAACAAGAAGACCAATAATACGAATAATAAGCGGAGCGAGGCCGCTATCCGCGTCGAAACCTCATCAC